ACAAGATGGGACAGCCGAACTCAAATTAGTCTCACAAAGAGCAAGTAGGTCTGGTGAACTTTGCAAGAGATAAGACTCAACAGAAGAAAAGTTACTTCGAAGACCACGAATATTAGTAAATGATAGGTTTAGAGAACTTGGTGATGACGATGGTTTTTTGTGTTTTTTAGTTTTAGGTACTTTAGTCATTTTAAATTTATAAAGAACTTGACTCAAGTATAGATAGTACTCAGTACACTATTTAACAACTAAGCAATAGCCTCATTACTATTAATAAACCCTAAGCCGTAACAAAGGGCTCCAAATGTGGCCTCTGCAATGCACACCAAAAGTACAAACAGGGACACCATCCATGCGCAACATGGCACTGTTAGTACTCTGATATTTTTCGGCTGTTGATGGAATCAGCCTCTCTGAGAGCTACCACAGAGTTCGGGAAACCTGACTACCAGCCGGCCTCAGAACCATAAAACTGAGTTTTAGAGCTGTACCCTCATAAGGAGATAATAGAATGAGTTGCCCAGTCATAAAAATAGAGACACAAGCAATACCCACGCATTGAGTCAAGAAGATCCAGCGTTCAACATCCTAAACTGGAAACAATGTATTAAAAATACATCTGCGCCAGCCTAATAGATGAGGAAGGGGTGCGAGGCTGGTCAACAGATAGAATCTGTTTACCCCTTAAGTCTTTGCCTAGGAGGCCTTCTACAAGACAGCAGCTGGATGCATGTAACATCTGCCCAAGATGAGTATTTTTATCGAGACACCATCTCTAGCCTTTACTCAACCAAGAGCCCCAAGGCAGGGGGTGTTTTAATTCGGAGTTAACTTCTCCTAGCCTTTGCCTAAAAAAGCGTATCCTACAAGGCAGCAGGACATGGAGCAGGTTGTACTGGGTTACATGTTACCAGTAGCAGGAAAACCTGACCTGACCTAAAGCAGTTACTTTATTAATCATTTTTTTCATCTTTTTTTGAAGAACATCTCTCTTAAGAACAATTATTCTTTTATTATTCCAAGAAGCCAATGTAAAAAGGTCACATCTGATGTTAAGCTCTATTATTTTCAGTTTACTAAATCATCTTATATCAGATGTTCTAGAGACTTTTATTTAGTCTTCAACAATGTCATTAACTAAAGTAACATTTTATTTATAAAGTAAGTCTAACATTTAATCGTTTAATTATATATTTAATTTTTAAAAAGTTCTAAATAAGTGGCTCCAATTTTTCAAAACTCTAGAAAATACTTTGATCTCTCTAACTATCTTATGATGAGTCTTCACTCTGTTATTAGTTTCTTTATATAAAGGTTTTGAAGTTATTAAATTATTTCTTACTAACTGCATTAATAAAATTATTCTTGAAGGTCTACAAGGTATCTTGTGGTACCCTTAAAGTTTATTGAGAGAAAGAAGAGTGTAGCTTAACATCAGACAGGACTTTTTTTTCTGGACTAAAACCTTACTCTCAGACAAAGTCTAAAAGCACATTGTAAATATAATGCGGTTATGGTGTAGTGGTAGGGTGCTTGCGTCATAAGAGAGAGGTACGGAGTTTGATCCCCACTATGTCCCTGGTAGTTTGTGTTTTGGAGTTATATAGTTGAGTGAGGGCTATAACCACAATTAAGTAGCCTCCTTGTCTGTAGTAGCGTTTTCAGCCTTATAGTTTACCGGGGCCGGGAACAGGTTTGAAAAACGCCTTGTTTTTAGCCAGGGCCAGGAATGAAGGCAAGCTAAATTGAGATTATGTGCACTGCAAGACATGTACAAACTTTGAGGATTTTTTTTGAGAATGATGGCCTGCAATCCTTTTTATACACTTGATATGTTAGCCTCGTTGTCATAGCCCTGGCAAAAAGTTAATGGTTGTGTGGATTTCTTTAATAATAGCAGTGAAAACAATTTCCCCACATGCTATAATAAACTAAATTTTGAGTTCTCCAGCTCAAATAGTGCGTATGTATCCTTGTTCTTTGTTTTTGGAGTCGAAAAATTTCTTATAAATGTAACTGGAGTGTCTTGTTTTGTTTCTCCAAAAGCTCAAAAGCAACTTAAAATTTAACATTACCAACCTTGTCCAGCATGTTTAATGAACCTACACAAATATGAGCATAATATTGAAACAAATTTTACACCTAGAATAATATTCCAAGCATCATTAACATTATTTTATGAATATAAACTGTTAACACATCTCGAAAACTTAGATTTCTTGAAGCTAAATGGAAGTGATGTCCAGCATGCAGTGTAAAATTTCATACCAATTAGATTTGCCTTGTTTCTTATTGACTTTTCATGTTCTGAATCGATCCCTGTCTTATTTTTCAAAATTTCAAAAGCTGATGTAGTAATTTCTGTGCTGATTAGACTGGTGGCTTTCAATATCCTCCTTGTTTTTGTCAATTATCTTTTATTACGCCATTCCATATCAAAAGGAAAGTGTGAAATCTATGACCAAAATTATGCTTTCGTCTGAAAATAAAGTAGGAAACAAATAAAAGGTTTGGGAGTTCCAATTCAGATAAGCCAGTCTCTGTTGATCTTTCCTCTGTTTAAGAGAAGTTATTTAAAAAAACAGAGGCAGGAACTTTTTTGTTTGTAGAATCTCTAGGAAAAAGTGTCGAATTTTGAGATGATTTATTTGGTATGACTAATTTAGTTTGACTTTGGATAAATCTTTTTTCCACAAAGCAGGGTCGTTTCCAACTGCTTGATCACTCAGTTGAATTGCCTCTTAATCCTAAATTAAAACAGTATTTGAGAATTATGGTATGTTTTTATTATTTGCAGGTATTAAATGTTATGTTTTTAATATCTGCAGATATTTTATGAAATAAGAATGCGTCCCAAAATCATTTGATTATCAGCTTCTTCTTCAGAGACCGTTGAAAAATTTCAAGAGGATGATGGCTTTCTTGGACTCAAGGGTTCATCAACACTGTTGCAGTATATCTAAAAAAAAATTGTTTTAACAGTTTCAGAATAAAACTATGAAAATACGACTATGAATAAAAAATAAAAACATAAAGCTATTAACCTATATCTTGACTACTTGGTCTGACAAAGAGTTGTTTGATGTCTTTTTTTTTAAACTTTATTGAAACCACATTTTGTGTACTCTGTGTACAACATTTTGTGTACCAGAACTCTGTGTTTTGTGTACAAACCAGAACTCTGTGTACATTTGTTATTTCTTTCCTTTACAACTTTTTCTGCAGCTTTTTTTCTACCTTAAATCATACTTTCGAAAACTGAATGTGGTGTTTTTACTCTAAGATGTGTAAGTGATAAACAATTGTATTGGGGAAGTATTGAATTTCTATTGGAAAAACAAAAACTAATAATTACATGTTACAACTAATTCAATCATCTTTTTCAGTAATCGCTATTGGTTACTGATTAATTGCTATTGGTTACACTTTTTTTAAAATACTATATTACTTGAAGATGCCAGATAAATTAGTTGAATGATGATTGTTAAAGGTCTTGACTATATTTGTTTTATCTGAATTCAAAATTAGAATTCAGGTAAAATTGAATGCAATTTTTCAATATCAAATAAATTAGTTTTAAAATATATCTTTGGTTCAGATAAGTGTTGTATAATTACAATTTTAATTACATTTATATCGGAGCCATTGCAATCTGTCCACTGAAAAAATAAAAATTAAAATTTTTTTTTTTCGCAACTGTGAAATTTAATTTCAAGTTTTTCATGCTTATAAAATTTTAAAAATCTTACAAAGTATTTTACAAAAAAAAAACAAAAAAAAAACAACTTCTGTTCTGTATTTTTTGCTTAAAATCATGCAAAAAATCTTTCTCTTTTGATTAATATTACAATAATCATTAAAATGTTCACAAAATATTACAAGCCCATACTGCAGGTGGGTTTGAAGGGTGCAATCAACACCGCTTTTTATACCAATTATTTTGCATACATTTTGCTATAAAAATCAAGCAGTTTATTTGCTACTATAAACTTCTTTATTTTTTAAAAACAACTCCCCCTAAAAAAATAATTTATTAGGTACAGACATGTATTAGATATAAAAAGTTCAACTCATTTGATAATCCTTAATAATTACATCATTAAAATATGCGCCATTATAACGTACACATAAATTATTAAGTAATAACTAACACATTTAGCGACAAGACTTATCATGTTAAACTGAATTCATAATAGATTGTTACAGTAAAATCATAATTTTGTGAAAGTAATTTTGTTCAGTGTATATATATGTCAAAAAAAAAAAAATCTTACAAAAATCATATGATCTTATACAAAATCAAATCTACCGTGTACTTTGCAACTGTTCTTAAAATCAAGCAATTACATTAGTAACAATCTTATTAATATACGATTATGAAAAAAAAAGAAAAGATTTAACTATACCTGGATTACTTGATTTGAAGGGGGATATGACAAAATTTTTATAACCATTTTTGAAATAAAAAATATGGAATATCTGATTATGAATAAGGTAATACAGCTATTAAGCTATACCTTAAGTACCTGTTCGGTGATAAAGTTATTAGATGCCAATTTTTGGCACTTTATTGAAGCTTTTACCTTTTATTTGAACTGGTAAATAGACTGACAAAAAAAAAGGCACCCTGCTATCTAGTAATTTGCAGAAGTACTAGACTGATTAGCGCACTCACAGTCAGGAATATTTTAAATAATTCAGCTGGAAACCAGTTATCCATTATCTAGTTCATTAAAAATGTATTCAGTCAGCTTGCTAGTCACAATGAAAATATTTTTTATTGAGGATTACATGTGGCTTCTTTTTACATACATACATACATACTTACATACATACATACATAAATACATACATACATACATACATACATACATACATACATACATACATACATACATACATACATACATACATACATACATACATACATATAAACATTTTAATTTTCATTAACAGAATAAATTGACAATGATAATTATTATTTTTTTTTGATTTTTCAGGATATTTTCAATATAGTACATGAGAACAGCTACACCAATGAATATCATTTTAGTGTCAACACAGTTCGGTTTCATCCTATGCCTGGTATGGGTATTGTTTATGGCTCAAATCGGGGTCATGTGCAACATTTTCAAATTGGGTAATTATTATTGTTTTATAAATCAGTATTAATAAATTTCATTATTTAAATTTTCTTGTTTATAAATATTTTAACAATTTAGACCAGATTTGAATTTAATGAAGTAAAAAATTGAAGAATAAATTTTAAATGTGGAATTTGGTTGAATGAATGTGATTGTTTGGATTTCAATGAATCTAATGAAAGGGATTTTTAATGAATGTAACTGAAAAAAAAGTTAATATACTAAGTAATTATTTTTAGTATAAGTAATTTTTTTTTTTGGTATAAGTAGTTTTTTTTTGTTTAATTTTATAGTTATTCTTATTACTTTGTTAATAATTTGATAATAGTTATAATAATTTATAAATTTTATTTTCTTATTCATTGTAAATATCTTTATTATTTATTAAAAAAGGAATATAGAATAAATAAGACTTTAGTTTCTTTTTCTTGAATTAAAGTTTACAATACTAAATATTTCTTGTATTATATTTCAAGGCATGCAACATTTATGAAATAAACTTTATATATTATATGTGAATCGGTAAATGTTAAAATGTTACATATTTTACAAAATTGACTTTTTTTGCGAATTTGTATATTCAAAGGATAGCTCTATCATTTTGTGTTATAAAGGTGGGTGTCAAATGTTTACTCTAGCCTGTACAGTGTCTAAAAGTTTTGATTTTTTGTTAAAAGGCAAAATTTCTTCTTTTTTTTTAGCAAAAAAGAAGAAACTTTGCGCTCTAGACAGCTGACTTAACATGACATCACTTTCTTATGATTGTACAAAAGTGTAGTCAATGCTGATTTATTACATGTAATCATTTTAATAGTGATTTAAGTTGACTTTTAAATTACATGTAATCATTTTAATAGTGATTTAAGTTGACTTTTAAATTACATGTAATCATTTTAATAGTGATTTAAGTTGACTTTTAAATTATATGTAATCATTTTAATAGTGATTTAAGCTGACTAACTTCTTTTTTAAATGGGTGAAAGTGATAGTAAGTCTGATCATACAAGTTCTAAAAAAAGCAGAGAAACTCTGATGGTTATTAAGGGATCAAGATTAAATCTAGGCTAACTGGTGTAGCATATGAAAATCACAGGAGACAAAAAGTTGATGTTACGTCTATCAACGATCCGTGCAGGTAAGAGATTGTACACAAATAATCCTTAATTTAATAATAGGCCTATGCTATTTTGTAATAATTCATCTGTAATTAGTCAGATTTAGGCTCTGTAGTTTATATTTTGCCTATAGACCTAGGACGGTGATTGCTTATAAATATTTGTAGGCCTAAGACAATAGAATGAAGTTTTTAGGTTAGTCTGCAATCCATTATTATATATTAACTTACACCCCATTTTGTTTACAAGACTAAGCAAATAACCTTTTTTATAAAGTAAAAAACTCATTGTCCAAAATTTGCAAGAGCTATTTTACCTAAGGCAAATAACAATTAGTGTATTTATTCTCATTTTAATAATTAGTGTATTATTCAACATTTCTCTTTACATCTATTCATAATGTAAATAGTAATGTTGTCACACTCTAACTTTACCATGAGGGGCAGGCTAAGAAGTCTCCGAACAAAATTTGCTGCTTTTGTTATGTCATTAATTGTGGGCGAAAAAATAAAAACCATTTTCAAACTTTTTATGGTGTTAACTGACAAAAAAAAGATCAATCAGTTTTTCCCAATCAGAGGGCACAGCTATTTTTTGTCCTTTGAGCATGACTTTTTGATTATAAAAAGAGAGTTAAAAAAACATGGCACAGTGTACAGCCTTCAAGAAATAAAAAGAAATTTTATTAAAAGTTCTATTCAAAGAAAGATTTTAGTTATGAATGTATAGAGTCTATCTCTGGTTTACAATGTTAAAAATTCTCTGGTTAAAAGTTGGTGGTCATGTCACTATAAACGTTACCTCAGTCAAAACATTGAGTAAATCCAGGAACCAAAAAACTCAATAAGCAAATTTCACAATTTTTGATATGATTGGGACATTATAGGTCAATGTAAAGCCTGTGAAATTATCAATGTTGTTGTCAACACATACTTTTAAGTTAAGAAAAAAATTTACCGAAAATGGAAAAGATTCCAATAAAATCTTCTAAATTGAATGACCTAAGAAAGTGTATTAAGTATATTCTATATGATCGTTTTATAATGAACTATTGCAGTAGCCTACAGCAGAAAGCAACGATGACAAGACAGAAGATATTGGGGAAAATGATTAAGAATAGCTGATAGAATTACTGTAATAGACCTTTATATATTTTGTTAAAATTTGTAAAAACTTAATAAATATACATTTTGTGAAGACTTATTGCTATTTATGACATCATTTTCTATAGCCCAAAATTAAAATCCTATTAACATAAGCAGTAATTATTTGTTAAATGTTAAAAGGGCTGAATTCCTCAGTGTTAATTGGTTAATAGCTTCTTTAAAAATAAATATTAAAATATATGTTCACTTTTAAATTGAAAAACATTATCCCTTTCAAAAAAAAAAATTAAACAAAAGTATACTAAGGTATATATATATATATATATATATATATATATATATATATACATATATATATATATATATATATATATATATATATATATATATATATATATATATATATATATATATATATATATATATATATATATATATATATATGTATATATATATATATATATATATATATATATATATATATATATATGTATATATATATATATATATATATATATATATATATATATATATATATATATATATATATATATATACATATATATATATATATATATATATATATATATATATATATATATATATATATATATTTATATATATGTATATATATATATATATATATATATATATATATATATATATATATATATATATATATATATATATAACAGGTGATAACTAAAAATTGAGAATAATTTTAATCCTCTGAAATCAAACTGCCAAAGTCAAAAAAATAAGAGCACAGAATACGCTGAGCAACAAATACCAACTGTGAAATCTCAATGCTGCTGGATGACCCGAAATTACTCTGGAAAATATTTTGTTTTGGATGACAAAAGTTACTTCCCTCTCTCCAAAATGCAAGTTCCAGGTAATGATCGATATTATGCATATAAAAGTTCTACAACACCTATGAAAGTAAATACAAGTTTGAGCAGAAAGTGATGCTGTACATTGCGATATCTGAGAGGGAAATTTCCATGCCATTGTTTTAGCCTACTTGATTTTGCCGGATAAAGCATCATTGCATTATCCAAAAAAAAATACAAGTCTTCCTGGAAATCCAAAACATCCCATATGTACCAAAAAACCGCAATCCAACAAATTTTCCTCAGTGTCACTCAATGAAAGATTTTTTTTGATATTTGAGTTTGTTAGTATACAAAAACAACTGGAGAGCTAAGAATTGCAAACCATTGATTACCGGAATCAAAAGATGTATTCGTCAAATTAATATAAATGCTGTACAATGTTCCTGTTCCAACATCACAACAAAACTACATCAAACTGCTGATGATGGACCATATTTGAATGTTCATTAATTATTTCTTAAAATTAAGTGATGTACATTCTATTAAAATAATTTTAATTTTCTAAAAATTTGTTTTTATTTTAGCCCAATATGAAAAATCTAATTTTTTAGTAATCGCCTATATAAATATATATATATATATATATATATATATATATATATATATATATATATATATATATATATATATATATATATATATATATATATATATATATATATATATATATATATATATATACATATATATATATATATATATACATATATATATATATATATATATATATATATATATATATATATATATATATATATATATATATATATATATATATATATATATATATATATATATATATATATATATATATATATATATATATATATATATATATATATATATATATATATATATAATAGGGTGACCTTAAAAAACAACATTTTTAAAAATTTTTAAAAATGTTGTTTTTTAAGGTCACCCTATTATATATATATATATAATAGGGTGATTTTTTTAAAAATTTTTAAAAAAAAAAATGTGTTTTATATAACAGAATAACACTGAGTTTGAAAAACTTTTATATCAAATTTTTTCTAAAGGTGCCGCTATACTTTTTATTATTTAACGGGTCACTAATATTTTGGGAAAAAAAAGTCATTCAAAAGTAGGTCAACTTGCTACTCAAATAAAGCTAAATTTAACAAAAAATTAAAATTTTGTAAAACAATTATTGTTATAAAAAAAACTTGTCAAAAACTTGTAAAAATGCACTTCTTTAATTTTATTTCAGAGCTAGCATCCTAGCTTTTATTTCAGGAAACTGTATTTTTTAAGCAATAAATTCTAAAATAAATTTTTTTATATATAGCAATAGGGTACCGTTGCGGTTCTAAAAATAAATTGAATAAACTTTCAGCTAAGCTTTCCGGGACAAACAAAGAAAACTTAATGCTAATTCTGAAGAAAATGTGTATAAAAGTGGAATAAAACAATGTTATTAGAATTTATTCTCGTCAGATTCTTTTACCTTAAACTTTTGCTAGCTGATGTAATTTAAAAAAATAGGAATTACTAAAGAATTAATGACCAACTTGGAAAAAAGGATAAAATAAAAATATAGGTTTCAAAAATATGTATTTAAACAAAAAGTCTACATCTTGTAGATGTTCTTGTCAAAAAGAATGAAAATAATATTAACATAGATGCAAGTAATATGTATAATCATTATAACAAAAAAATTTGTAAACTCTTTATTAGTTCTGATGTAAATACAGAATGCAGTATTGTTGATTTTAATACTGGAAATAGACATGATTGTTGATTTTCTGTATCATTTATTTTTTTATTATATGAACATGAAAAATGTGATTTTATCGATTTAATAATTCTCAGATTTCTACTTTTATGAATTTCTTGAATTTGAATGAATTTCTATAAAAGAAATTATAATTCAAGACTTGCTTTTACAGAAACAAGCAATTATTTATATTGCACTATTTTTAAGTGTGTGAAAAGTTTACAAAAGAAAAGGCTATGCAATCAAAAAGAATTGTAAAAAGCATGAGTTTATTTTGAACAATTCAATGAACATATTTATTTAGATTCAAATTAAAACCAATAATTCAATCAAAAGTTCAGATTATTTGATAAAGTAATGCTTTATTTGTTGGCACTAGCATCTTTATTAGTTTATGTTACAAGCATTGTTTAAAAATTTACCAATTACGAAGTAATTGCTAAACTTTTAACAATGCTTGTGTGCTTAAATATCTTTGTAAAGTTCAAATTTTGTTTTTACAAATTTAACTGTTTATTTATTTTGTTAGTTTTTTTTGCTAATTGCTTTTTTTTTCTATGTGTATATAAAGATTTCTTTGTGTAACTCTTATATAACTAATACAAAAAAATATATATATTTTAAATAAATTTTAAAAGATTAAAAACCATTTTGAACAAATTTAAAAAACAGAGTTAAAGTTTTAGCTTTCTTAAAAATTATGGATTAAAACTTATTTATAAACATTTTTGTAAATATGTACTTTTAATTTTATTTGATCGCAACTTTTTAAAAAATATACTTTTTAACTAAATATATTTTTAACATTTTTATTTTAAGAATAATTTTAACAGTCAATGTTTAGAGAGTTGGTTAATATTTTAAAAATAATTTTAACAGTCAATGTTTAGAGAGCTGGTTAATTTTTTAAAAATAATTTTAACAGTCAATGTTTAGAGAGCTGGGTAATATTTCTCTGACGTTTTCAAACTCTTTTTGTTTAAGCGTTTACTCTCAGGTGCTTAATACGAAGGAGGGGGTAAATAGTTAACTTTTGGAAAATATACCCACCCTGAGGGTATTAAGATTCATTAAATTCATTCGTTTATTAAATTTTTTTTATTGCAAAAGAAAACTATCAATTGATAAAAACAAAAACTTGGAGTAATCAGGCTTTAAAATGTTTAAACTAACTGATCAAATTTAAACTAAATAATCAAAATGAAAACTTTTATTGTAATTAGGTCTTGAAAATTCACTAACACTAAGCAAGAATTCAAAAAATTATGGAGAGTTTGTATTGAAAACTGATTAACTTAAATTGTTGTTGTTATACATTTTTAAATTGTTTGTCTGCATTTCGATTAGGAATAAACCAAAGCTTTGGCTTCCGCTTTGGTTTGCCGAAGCGGAAGCCGAAGATTTTTGCATTGCCAATGATTTTTGGACAATGATTTTTGCCCAAATCATTGGCTTCGGCAAAATATTTTTAAGTTTCTAAGCTTTAAACTTTTTTAAGATTCTAAGCTATAGGTTAGAATCTTTAATTACTTTAAAATATTTTTTTGGTATGTTACAGTATACTTGGACATTACTAAGCTGGCATTTGACTGAGGAAGACATTTTCTAAACGTTCAAACAATGTCTGTTTTCCGAATAAAATGAAGTTGAACGTTCAAAATACTTCTTTTTTTTTTTCTTGACTAAATAATGGCTGCTTAATGAGAAATTTAAATAAGCCTCTGGTCTATACAGTTGTGAAGATTATATGAATCCAGCAACGGTTTTTGGAGGAGGCAAGGCTGTGTGTAGGGCGGCCAAAAACGGCACGATAGCGGATAGAAAGTAAAGTTACTTAATGAAGCACATTGATTTTTTGTATAATTACTAAATATAAACTGATTTAAACTGTAACATTATAGTAAACTTTATATAATTAAATACCATAACCCTAATATTTAGTTATGATCACTCGAGCTTAGCAATAAAATTTATTTATGCATTAGTTGGTAGTAAAATAATGAAAAATAATTAAAATTTAATTTTTTTAGCATTTAGTTATTATTTAGCATTAACTTCTAAAATCTGAGTTATATTAAATTATATATTTTTTAATATTAAATCCAAATTAAAAATTAAACCTGGAAATAAATCTTCATTTGAAATTACTTAGATGTAACTAAAATCTCCGGATTTTAAGTAATAAAAAACATAGCGCACGAGAGTTAAGAGAGGTAACTATTCTCGAAATTTTCAAAAATCTATACAAATAAGTTAACTTTAACGCACGAAACAATTTTTATTTAGAAAGTTTGTTTTACTAAGTCTTAATACACAGAAAAGCACAATTGAAATATAAGTCAATTGCGTTTGTTTTTGATTTTGTACGCTGGATCATTGGTAAAAGTAAATATACCTGCTCTACAAATATAGGTTAATTGGTTATTTATGACTTTAATTTTTTTTAATTCGAATACGAATATTGTTTATTTCAATAAATATTATTTAAGGTAAAAAACTAATTAAACTTTATATTTCAATTTTCAGTATTGTTATTATAACTTTAAGTTATCCATTATCGCATTATGGCTACCTCATCACGAAGTGAAAATCCCTTATGGAATTATTTTAAAATGAGTGATGAAGATGTTGGCAAAGCCATCTGCATTCTTTGCTAGAAGATTTTGTCTAGAGAAAGTAAAGACGCACACAACAATATACAATATACATACCATGATTCTTTCTCAGAAGAAAACTGTTAACCACGAATCTTTACCAGATCCAAATGAAAGTCTATAAAACAATTTTGCACTACTCGAACAATATGCTCAGATAGAACGAGCTCTGCTGAATCAGTGCAAATCATTACCAGCACTGCCACAGATGAAACACAGGGAAGCTCGCGTGTGTCTAATAACACGATTGCCTTTTTTCAAAGAGCATCGACACAGGTAACTCAGATAACTGTAGCTAAATTCATTTACTATTCAGTATTCATGATTTTGTGACTGGATGGGGGCATGTCTTGTCAAAAAATTATCTTTTCTATAGAAAAAAGTTAACTTAACTTACCTAAGCTTATAATATTATAATAAATGTTCTGATGAGGGGGAACGATACATACCTCTATCCGCCACTTAGATCCTTTAGTGGCCATTGTTAGTTACAAGTTGCTAAGTAATTTTTTTAATTCGTTGAATTTGTTTCAGGTCTCACTGCGGGAGATTTTGCAAAGAAAAGAATTGTGGCAACTTGACAATCCTAAAGCTCTATTACCAAGCTTATTGGAGAAATGATATGTTTAGACTTGCAGCCATACTGTATTGTTGAAGATAAAGATTTTACCCGACTTTTAAAGAATTTAGCTCCAAACTATACAATACCTAGTTGAAAGTATTTCTCCACAATAGTCATTCCACTGATATATGAAACCATAAAAGCTAAAGTAAAATATGAGCTGGATCAAGCAGATTTCCTAAGTTTAATTAGTGATGGTTGGACCTGTCAGCACACCATTCAATCGTATTACAGTTTGACTGCTAGATTTGTAACACATGAGTTTACAGTTAAACATGTCATCTTACAAGTTACACACTTCCCTGAGTTGCACACAGGGCACAATATAAGTAAATTCATAAATGAAGAGCTACAATCATGGGAAATTCCCCATGAAAAAATTCATGCAGTTTTAACTGATAATGCAGCCAATGTAATGGCTGCCATTAAAGAGTCAAACTTGGGCGATAAACATCTTCCATGTCTGATACATACTTTACAACTTTGTATTCAGAAAAAGATCTTTAGAGAACAAAGAACAGCAAGTGATGCAATAGCTGTTTTTCGAGCATTAGCAGGACATTTCCACTACTCATCTAGTGTTGTGGCTAAACTAAAGGAAATTCAAAGTCAACTAAAATTGCCAGAGCATAATATAATTCAAGATGTTTCCACAAGATGGAATTCAACATACTATATGCTTGAGAGGTTCATTGAGCAGAAAAAAGCTATTACATTGTATTGCATTACCAGAAATCTAACAAATCCAAAAAATCCTACGGAAAATCAATGGCAACTTGCTGAAATGCTTGTATGCATATTAAAACACTTCGAAAGTACTACAAAAGACATGAGTAAAGAAACTGTATGTATATTAGAGATTATACCATTTATCTATGCAATGGAAATGTTTCTAGACTACGCTTTTGACACAGCTACTGAAATCAAAACTGTTGTTGATGAACTTAAGAAAGATTTTAACTGTTGTTTTCAAAAATACAAGGAAAATGTTGATCTAAAAATAGGGATGATGCTTGATCCTTGTTTCAAGTTAAAGTTTGTTGAAGACAAGAATCATAATATGTTTAAAGAAATACTCCATCTAGAGTTCTATTGTTTTTGTTCTAAATTTCATTTAGAACAAGTAAAAGAAATTGAATTTGGTGTAGCAAGAGGTAGTGGATCAGACTCAGAAGAATCATTAAGTTCATTTTCAGAATCTAAAATTCATGAGTCCGACTCAGATTTTGATGGCTATGGCTTTCCATTAAAAAAAACAACTAATGAGCATGGACATATATAGCTTGTTCCACTAAATCGGTGCAAATGAGTATGCTCTACAAAATTCAGAAAATTCTGACGGACGGAGAAAAAAGAAAAAAAAACACTAGTTCAATGGGAAAAACTCTAACTGTCAAAGAAAAATGGTAAGAAAACAGAATCTATTTATGATTTTTATATTGTTTATACATTAAATATTTAAATTAAATTGGTAATTATATCCTTTTCTATATTTCATGTTCCTTTTGTATTTCCTATAGCCATTTTTGATTGCATATGACCAATATTAATTATCATTTATCAATGAAATTTTTTTTATCTCTATTCTTAATTACTCTCAATCTCCATTTTTTATATTTCAAAAGACGGATAAGAGCATTCTTTTATTTTGTTTAGTTTTATTAAAGTGTAATATTTTAAAAATTTAAACCTAAAATTATCACCTATACTTTATGTATCAGCACCGATGAAGTCAACTTCTACTTGAGCCTTTCAATACTGCCAAAGAATGAATGCCTTTATAAGTGGTGGGGTGGATACCGTTACACTTGCTCCGATAATGATACTTACAAGTTGAATTTGTCAAAGTTTTCAAAGAAAGTTTTGTGCGCGCCTCCTTCATCTGTAAAAAGTGAACGCTTATTTAGCACATTTGGAAACATATTTGAAGCAAAAAGAAACAGACTATTACCCAAACATGGAGAACAGATTGCATTTTTAAATTATAATATGTCTGTTTTCATTGAATAAACTATTATTAACTAAATAATAGACTGTAGTTTCTTAGTTCAACTGATTCAACTTTTTAACAAAATTTAAAACATATACCAAATTTTATGTTCAAATTAAAATAATGATTACTTTTATATTTTTACATTTTACGTGTTTACATTTTTATGAATTCTTTCAAAGAATTGACCATAGATTACCTTAAGTATCAGTAAATGTCTAAGATTTAGTGATGTAATCTTTCCTATACCTGCTATATATAGAGTTAAGACTCTAAATTTCACTTTCTAAATTTTTGTACAAAATTTGTTTAAACTTTTTATAATATTGGTTTTGTTTTATAATTTTCCTAAAATGGGCTTGTAGGCCAAAACATATAACCCTAAAACATCTGATAATATGAATACGCTAATTTAATATTATTATTATTAGTCGAGTTACGCCATTTTCTAGGCTTTTCTATTTTAAATTAGTTTCTAGGCTTTTTATATGCGTTTTTTTTTTAATTTTGTTTACTAACAATGCGTATTACGGGTTGCTCACTGCTAGTTGATATATAATTTTAAAAGCAGCTTGATTATTCAAATCACCGTGGTGAAGTAAATTGAGCTTTAAATTACGTATAACTTAAGCTTCGGCTTCGGCAAAGTGGCTTTGGCCGAAACTTCGGCTTCGGCAAAATTGCAGCTTCGGTACATCCCTAATTTCAACCCCAGAATCCTTTTTTTTAAATTTATTCGATATATGCATAACAAAAGCCAAATGGTACACTATTATTATTTTTGAACTTTCTGTTTAATTTTGCTTTTTTTTTAAGTACCAGGTTGACCTTCTTTTAAAGACTTTTTTTTTTAAATATTTAGAGACCCATTAAGTAATAATGGGTCCCTAGAGGCATAGACCGAAAATAAATTTTTAAAAATCCGAAAAATTTTAACACAAAATCCAGCTAATGCAAGTGTTACTATTTGTATTGCCTATTTTCATTTTAATAAACAATATCATTAAAGTTTGAAGAAAGCTGGGCACCAGAAACCTGTTTTTGAAACTTGCAGAAACTAGAACTTATAGGCTAATGAGTTTTGATAAAACTTGTAAAAACTCAGAAAAAAAAGGGGAAAGTTATAAACATCAATTTTACACCTCTCAAAAAAATATATTAGATATCTCAATCTAATATATTAAAAATAGTAATTTTGAAATAACCACTGGAATTATGATATTGGGAAAAAGTACAGGCAAAAGAGAGTTTTAATTTTATTATATATTTTTTTCATATCTCACCATTATTAGGATCTTATCATGCCACAATGCCAACATTCTATATATAAGAAAGAACTGATGTTTCTCAAATGTTTATATTTAGGTAAATAGAGTAAAAACAGTAACTGTCTTATATTTGAAAATTAAATTAAGGTATTGAATATCAAGTTAAGCTATTGAATATCTACTTTATTAAATCAATATTTTCTATTTTTAAATAAATCAAGTGATTTGTAGATGTATGCAGTTATTTCAGTATGAGGTTGTTTCAATATGAAGTAGTTTCAGTATGTTATTATTTCAGTATAAGGTTATTTCAGTATGAGTTTGTTTTAGTTACTTTTGTTTGTTGTTGTAACATTATGTGATTATTTCTGTATGTTGAAGTTACAAATTATTTAAGTGTTGTTCTTTTAGCTAAAGAAAAAAAAATTTAACATATAATGGAATTTTCTTTAAAGCCTATCCCAAGAGAGCGTGCATTGCTAGAGACATTCTTTTGTACATTGGCAAATTTTCATTTTGATCGGGCTCGAGAATCTATTGAAAGAGAAAGAGAAGAATCTAAGCATGAACCAGGAACATTATATACTAATTTACTTTCTTGTTTAATATCTCTCCCTAATATTGAAAAAGGGTATTTTATGATGCTATTTGTTGAGCGAAGATTATTGAGGCGTGAAACTATAAAACCTTTGTACTTAACTCTCTTGTCAGATTTGAAAAAACATGTTTGTGTTGATAGTGAAGATGCACTTCATGGCATAGATGCAATTTCTTTCGACTTATCAAAACAGCTTGTTCAGTTCATTAATGCACGTATTTGCATGATTGACTTTTATGAAAATTTAGTGAGGACCAGCTGGAGCCATACTAAAGACAGAAAATTAATATCTACTGCAATTTCAGAAATAATTTCAAAATTTGATAAAGAGTTTCACCATCCAATGCTTGATCCTTTAAAAACAAGTTTTACAATAGAAGTTGATGTAGTGCATTACCTTATGCGTTTAGAAATCCAGCTAGCTGAATGGGATTTTTTTGAATCTTTTCTTTTACTCCGTGAATGTCACTCAAAGATAAATTCCTGGTTTGTGGTTTCTGCAACATCAGACCCTCGTGAGCAATTATTTTTTAATAAAAGCTTTTTTCGTAAGAAAAATTTAGAGTTGCCTTTTCTGTATGAGTGGCTTAATCGATTTTATGAAATGCTTATATCAAAGTTTGCTTTTTATTTCCACACTACATTGAGCTCTCACATTTTGCAGCAGGAGAAAAAGACTCTGTTAAGTCGATTAAATGTTGATTATGTTACAAAGTTGACAGACTTCCAGAAAAAGTCAGGTGCTTTCTGTATATCTCTTGTCCTTGATGCTAGTAAAAAAGCTAGCACTTATTGTGGTCATGGTTATCATTTACCCTCAACAATACGATCACCACCAACTGGTATGAACTCATACCCTAGTGTTTTAAATATACCTGATGTTAACATAAAAGAACATTGGCCTAATATAATTTCTATGATAAATGATAACAGCATGACACTTAATGTTACAGACAAAATAGTTCATGTTTATGACTCAATGCTTCAAAGTTCTTATTTTCTAATCAAAGTGGATTTGCTTATGACTTTGGTTGTGACCTACAATACAAAAAAAAAAGAAAAAGACAGTTATGTAACTAGTATACTCTCTGAAATACGTTCTCAGTTGGACCTTGATAAACTTTATTTAATGCTAAAAAACCAGCAAAAGTCTTTTAATCAATAGCTAATAAAAACTAAAACAATATTTAATAATAAAAAGGTAAAATTTAAAGAAATTCTTTTTTTATTTTCTATTTTTATATTTTTTACAGTTTTGTATTTTTATAATTTTAAGTTTGTAAAGCTTTTTTCTCACATCTAAATAATTATCCATCTAAATAAGCATCCATCTAAATAATTATTCATTTAAATAATTATACATCTAAATAATTATCCATCTAAATAATTATTCACTTAGACTAATAATATCTAGATAAATACATTTAAAGAATAAAGAGTAAAAATATGTTATGTGAAGAGTAAAAAATGTTCAGATTTATTATTAGAAATTTTATTAATGTTGGAGTCATGCTTTATTCATCGAAATTTAACCAACAAAATTTTTGCCAAATTATGTAAATTTTGAGTAAAAATAAATTTCTAACTCCACTAAAGTATTTTCAAAAAGAAAAGTTTTGTAAAATTCAAACCCCACTAAAGTACTTTCAAGAAGAAAAATTTTGTAACATAAAAAAACTTTTTGTTGTAATATATTCTTGTATATCTATACTTGAATAAATCATTTAAAAAAATTTCACCCATTTTATTGTCTCATGCAATAAATTTAGCTAAAGTTGTTTGTTGTTTTTATTTGTTAGACTTTTAGGAATACAATTTACAGTATAGTAATACAAACTACAAAATAGATATAGAGATACAAATAGGAAGTTAATTTACAAAATAGAAAACTATTTTTTAATTTAAAGAATTCTTTAACTTAATTGACAAGAAAAAATTAGTTGAAAATTGATTTCTTTTTTTGGTGGAAAAACTTTATACCTTAAAACTAGCTTCTTTTTTTTTTTTACTGTCTGCTTCTGATCATGCTGATTTTTGTGACATATTAAGCAAATAAATTATTTAAAACCATTTTTAAAATGATGTTATAATTTTCAAGTTTTATAACTATATATATTATAAATATAATTTTAAAAATTTGGGGGAAAATTTTTGTTGAGATAGGTAGGTAGCAGGAAGGAAAGAATGGTGGAGGGATTGTGGGATAGAAAAAAGTTAAAGAAAGATGAAAAATAGGTAAAATGGTAAGAAGGTAGGTTGAAGGTAGGTTAAAGAGGAGGGTAGGTTGAAGATAGAAAATAGGCAGATTGAAGGTAAAAAGTAGATTAAAAGTAGTAATTTGATTAAAGGTAGAAAATGGGTAGAAGAGATAGATAATAAATTTAGTGGCAAAGTAAATGTAGAAAGAAAAAAGATACTGCAATCTCCTGCAAAAGTTATATCAGTTAAATATTTTTTAAGTAAATCCATAATTTATTGAAAATGACATACACAAATGACATACACAAGGCTAAGATTTCATTTATGTTATATACATATACATGCATGTATATAACATAAATCAAATCTTAGCTTTGTGTATGTCATTTATGTATGTTCCTTTGTATATGTCAATTATGGGTTTACCTAAAAAATACTAAACTTATTATAACCTTTTACAAGAGACTGTAGTACATAGAAGGCAAAGAAAGATTTGTGCAGAAACACAACAGTTTACTTATAAATCAGTTGAAAAGCTGATGATGGATACTCACATGATGGTGATGAAGATGAGTCAATAAAGATGACAAAAAATCATAACTTATCAATTGATTGGCATGGTAATGTATTGAATGCTAATGATGCTGGAACAATAAAAAAAAGGTTTAAATGTTTATTTTTTTTTTTATTTCAAATATTTGTTTTTTTAATTTAAGTTTTTTTGTTTGTTTTTATTTTATTTTTAATTTTTTTTTTGTTGCTAGAATTTTATTAATAAATTTAATAATTAAAATGTTAGCAAAGTAATTTCTTTTTTTTTTTGATGGTTTTGAAGACAGTATATTTAAAGTATGTTGATTTAAAAAGTTTTTCATTGGTGTTTGTTTTTATATGTTTAAGTGTTTGCTAAACTGATCCATTCATTTTTGTTGTATTAATCTGTCATTTATCTGTCACCTTGTCACATGCACGTATTATTTTACATTAAAAAAAAAATAAAGCAGCTGACTGGTGCAGCCAATATTTTTATTTGATTGTCTTGTCTTCATTTTTACTATAATTTAAAAAAGGTTTTTATATGCATTCAACTTGAAAACACTTAAAAAAAAATTACTTAAGAATGTTAAATAAAGGATACAGTTCAAGTGGTAAAATTAATTTTTATGTTCTTTTGTAATTTTTATATTTTATGTTCTTTAATAATTTTTTATTTGATTGATGTTTATTTTATGACTGTTTAAAAACTTGAATTTAGAAACAAAAATGGGAGAAATGGAAGTTATTGAACCTTCAAAAAATAAATCAATTGGAAGTTCTCGTATGTTGTGCATTTCCATTACATTTTTAGTGGTTTTAGTTGGTGCATGCTTGATTGTTTGGTTTGTTTCTACTGATCGAGCAAAAAAACTAGCTGAAGTTGAGTTTCAGAAATGGAAGCAAGGTTTTTGAAAACTATTTTATAAGTCACAAAAAGTTTTATATTTCTGAAATTTTACCATTTGTTCTAAACATTTATTATCATTATTTTTTTTTATTTAGAATTTAATTAATGTAATAATTATAGTTTTGTGTTTAATACTTAGTTGCCATGGCTGACATTCTAAACTGTGTTAAATGAAACAATAAAACATATATAATGATGGATGTTAATTTTGTTAGTGTTGTTACTGTTATGCTTAGTTTGTTTTAGAAGTGTATTCTGTATTTTTATTAAATAATATTCAAAAAAGGTTTTTTCATATATAGTATAAGTTTACACGTTGATACCCTTTTAAAATTTTAGAACAATCTGCAACTACCTCTTCTTTTTCTTCATTATCCCCAACATCATTATTGTCAACAACTTCTCAACCAATTTGCACTGACCATTGGTGTAAGGTACGGTTACCAGACTCAATTATTCCATACCATTATAATTTAAAGATTGAAGCATATCCACCTTCTTTGGATTATCATGGAGTTCAAATAGCATTCCTTAATATTACACAACCTACAGATGTAGTTCTTTTTCATATAAAGCTGATAGAAGTTATCAATGTTTCAATTAGTGAAGTTGGTATGTTTTTTTTATGTTTTTGTGTTTTTTTATGTTTTTGTGTTTTTTTTATGTTTTTTTTACTAGTTTTATAAACTTTTTATTTTATTAATAAATTCATTTAATTTATGCAGCATTATAACATTGTTTTGTTTTGTTTTGTTTTTGTTGAAAGACACAACTGTGTCTTTGTGTCAAAAAATTATATTACAAAAATTATATTTAAATCTGTTTAAATAAAAATAAATAAATATTAAATCTCAGATTAAGCGGGCAAAAAATAAATCCAGTTAACTCTGTTAAGTAACTTAAAAATCGAAATAAATCCAGTCAATTCTATTAAATAACTTGAAATCAAAATAGACTTTTTTAATCTTTTGCATTGCATTAGTCTCATCTCAGATATAGTTGTCAAGTTTTGGGACTCATTTCCAAAATAAAACTCTAAAATTAATTTATTTCCTACATACTAATTTAAACTCAACAACTCTATTTTTTATCTAATGTTCTTTGACCTTAATTTTCCCCTTAACTTTGTTTTGCGCTTGTTTGATGTTGGAATATATGAGATCTTATCTTTAGCTTTGTTTCACTAATATAACATTTGCTACAAGAGCGCTCTAATTTATTAATACCGTATATGAATTAACTGGTAGCTTAGGTTTGTTTTTATAACTAAGTAGACTTGAGAGAATTTTTGAAGATTTAAACACTGGTGAGTATCCTGGTTTTTTAAATACCCTTCTTAACTTATGATTGATTCCAGGGTAAAGATATTTTGGAGAGGCTAAGAAATATTGCTTTTTTGTGAGATATTTTTTGTTTGCACTTTTTATTGTAGCCATTTTTTATAAATACATGAATAAAAAATGACAACTTATCATCAATATTATTTACTGTACACAAATGTATTGCTCTATGGACAAAACCAATAAAGATACAGTTAATAATTTTAAGGTCATGGCATGAATTTCGTTTAATTTAAACATTTGTGATTGTGTTTTAAAACTATATGTGTCTGTTTTGTTGTTTGTAACTGAAATATTAAGATTGGTTAAGTCGGCAGATTCCATTGTGTATTGAATACTTTTATGTACTTTATTAAATAGATCTAAAAACTTTGGCACATATTCTACTAGGAACCTTAAATGTATTAATTAACATATCTTTTAAATGATTTCACCCGGATATCATTGTTAAGTTCCATCGAGAGCTTTACTTTCATGATACTGTAAAACACTTGGCAACCACGCCATAAGAGCTAAGCAGAGTTTATTTAGCTCATAAATATCATTTTCATATAAGAAATAACAATGAGTTTGAGTTTATATATTTAGGAATTAAATTATATATGCATGTATTACTTTTGTATATTTTGATGAGAAAGTGCTACACCAGGCACTTCCATTCTGAAAGAAAAGACTTGTGTGTTCGATTTTGCAGTTTTTTACCATTTGACATTCAAGTCAAAGAAAATATCTACACAAATTGCGTAGACTAGACAATGAGAAAGACAAAGTTCTAAAAGCAACCTGATCTCCTCAAAAGTTAATTTATATATAAAGCTCTGGTTGTTTCTTGTTTCCACTAATATAATGATTGCTTATTAAATCAGGACCAAAGATTACTAATTAATGCGATAAAAGGTGACCTGAATATCATTCTTGTCAATTTCCAAAAAAACCTGCTCACAATCTTATTCACAAACTGCTGAGAATCACTCCATAAGCATAGTTGTAAAGCGTCGCTTGAGTAGATATTTTTATATTCATTTTTTGTAAAATATCCTAGTTTATTTACTTTTCTAAAAGTAGACTTTGAACTTTGTGAAGAATTTGAATAATGGGGTCATAATTTAACTTTTTTATCTCCTGTGTTCTTTAATTTTTTCTAGAGCTCTATTTTGCTCAATTTGCATCCAGACCCTTTGTCAAATACAATCAAATATTCATGTCTTTCCTAATTTTGTCTTAATTTAAAATTAAAAGAGGTCTGCTTTGTTCATTGTTAAGGTTATTTTTAAATGGCTTGACCAATTTTAAAATTATTAACTCCCTCAGTCTATTTTAACTCCCTCAGTCTACTTCATAATATACTGCAATTTTAAGGCATATGATTCGGTAACTGATATGATGTCTGAATAAGGTATTGATTTTGGTGTTGGAACAAAGTTAGGTCCCAGATCAAGTAATTTTTTGTGATGTATAGGACTTTCATTAACTAAATTAAGCATTAACTCACTAATATTTCTTCTGTTTGTTTATACATTACTTCTATTATTCTATTATACATTACTTCTATTATAAAGAATGACATATTTTGAAAAATATGTCATTCTTTATAATAGGCTGTATTTATACTTTTCATTTAAAGTGAGTTTACTGGACATCTTAATCATAATAATTTTGAAAGTATAAGATGTTTTATACATCGTTGTAAAAGTACTCACTGATTTTTCAATTGTTTTCTTTAAGTTTCTCAACACTTTTGTGTCTTTGTAAATGCTATTAATATGTTTGCCTCCAATGTAAATTTTAAATATTGACATCTTCATGTTGACATCTTCATGTTGACATCTTCATGTTGACATCTTCATGTTGACATCTTCAAAAGAGTTTAGTTATATAAATATTTTAAAATAAAACTTCTTTTTATGAATTTAACTTTGTTAAAATAAATAAATTGTTTCTATTTCTATTAATATTATTGGATTTGACAGGTGTTTATATTTTAGGTTCCACTAAACTATTTATTATTATGAAACATTTTGCATTTCCTCAAAATGAATATTATGTAGTACAATTTGAAAGTAAAATACCTACTGGAAAATATCAACTTGAAATACATTTTAAATCAAATATCTCAAATAGTTTGACTGGATTCTATCAAAGTTTTCATGACAGAGAAAAAAACGACAGCAGGTTTCTTGTTTTAAATAATTTAAGTAATTGATTGACTTTGAATTATTTAATCGCTAAATTTTATATTTAATTTTTAAACTAGTGTGCTGTTTACTACAAAATTTCAACCAACAGATGCACGTAAAGCTTTTCCCTGTCTTGATGAACCAAACCTTAAAGCAACTTTTAATATAGAAATTATTCATCCACAAAATTATCATGCTCGCTCCAATATGCCAGGCTATTCTGTTCATTTAGAAAATAATAAAACAAGTACAAAGTTTAACCAAACTGTTAGAATGTCCACATACTTAGTTTGCTTTGTTCTGTCACAGTTTGATATGAAATATTCAGGTATTGCTGGAAAAGATAAAACATTTGAGGTTAGAGCTTTCAAACTTTTTTTTTTTTTCAAACTGCTTTTTTTATAATTACAATTATAAGTTGTTTAATATAATAATTGCAAGCTTTTTTATATAATAATTACTAATCAAATAGATTTTTTGTGTGTGTGGAAAATCGTTTGAAGGTTAAGTACTTGACATTTTTAAGTATGGTTGGTATCAACAATAGTTTCATTACACTTTTTTAACTTTATGATGAAATGTTGGATTTTTCTTTGTTGCACTTTAAATTAGTTGAATTTTTCTTTTACTAAGACATTTACTTCATACAAATACTACAGATAATATATATATATATATATATATATATATATATATATATATATATATATATATATATATATATATATATATATATATATATATATATATATATATATATATATATATGTTTAGCAAAAAAAAAAAAATTAAACAAATGTAAGTAAAAAGTTCCAGGTAACAAAAAAAAAACTATTCAAACTAAGATGAGTAAAATATATTTATTTGTTAACTTTTAACAAATATTTTAAGTTTTTTCATTAACACAGAAGGCCTTTCATATAAAATCTTCAGCTGTGTATGAGATTTACAAAACTATCAAAATTCTTTATATTGAACTTCCTATAAAAAGTTAAAAAAGGAAGCAATTAAGGTTTATATAAAAAAACTATAATTAACCATAATATAGTATAACTTGATTTTTGTTGGAAAGAAAAATCTTTTTAAAAGTAATGTAAAAATAATTACTTTCTATTTATATGTTCATTGTGTCATGTCCCTGTTTATCTAGCTGAGCTTCATAAATAAGAAGTAAATTCTCATTTGAAAGTTTTAACATAGGAAATAATTTTAAAAAGGTTTATTTTTATGGCAATTGAAAACATGCTGATCAAATTTATCTGAACCAATACCTGTTCTGCATGTGTAGATGCGTAGATTAGTTCTTAACCTTAGGTTATTAGTTTTACCAATGTATGTTGTTTTTCCATCACATCCATTACATGATAGAAAATAAATGATATTTTTTGAATTACATGATATTGAAGTTTTAGTGTGCTATACTTTACCAGATGATGTTGTAAAATGGTTAACAAACTGAAGATACATAATAGTTCATAGCTTACAGTGTTTTGATTTACATTTTAAAACCTTGCATTTATCAAAACTGGTTTCTAATTTAACCTTGATGTACTTATGTGTCCTAAAATATTTTTTGGTTAACGTTGTGATAATACGATAGAAGTAGACTTAAGGTAATGTTATGTAGACCTAGATTAGTATTAATTCAACTTATCAATTCAACTTATCAATTCTAACATTTAAAAACTTAGTATCAATTCAACTCAAGTTTATATGTTTTGGACTTCATAAAATATCTTGTAATAAAATTTTTAAAATCAATTTAATATTGGTTATTTGTAATTTTTACTAATTTAAGATGAATATATAATAATTTCTATTCAGATTGCTATTTGGAGTCGACCTGAACTTGTCAACTCAACAGAATATGCATTTAATATAAGTGTTAACACAATGAACTTCTTAGAGGAGTTTTTAAATGTTAGGTATCCAATGCCAAAGCTAGGTAAGGATGGTTGTTTTGTATTTTTTTTTTTATTTTGTTATTTTTTTGTTTTTTAAAATACCATGTTGCATTAGACATGTTTGGAATTCCTGATTATGCTTCTGGAGCAACTGAACACTGGGGTATTATTACATACAGAGAGGCACGACTACTATATACACCAGGAGTATCATCATTGGGAAACATGAAGTCAACAGCTGGTATAATAGGTCATGAGTGTGCTCATTTGGTTAGATTTTTTTTTATGTGTGTATAATTTTTAAATTAAACTTAGTTTGTGTTTAACTTGTTTAGTTTTATCTAAAGATAAGGAGTTAATTTAAAATTTTGTTGTAAAAAGCATTTCTTACAAAACATGAGTTTAGCAAACGTAAGGGTATGCTACTTTAGTTATGCCAAGGAAAACTTTTTTATTTAAGATTTTAATAAACGATCAAATGGCAAATATTATGTTTGTAAATATTTAATAGGAGCTCTTTAACGTATTTTTAACATTTAGTAACTATATTTCAGTAATTTTTTTTTTATGGTTATTAAATGTTTAAAAATACTTTAAGTAATTTTTAATCAATATTAACACATGACACTTTCAAAATTAAAATAATTAAATAGTAATTACACCTTTTAAACACTTATGTTTTTTATTTGAATAGTTATATATATATATATATATATATATATATATATATATATATATATATATATATATATATATATAACAATTATATAATGTATCTAATTTTTATCTAATGTTATATGATAAATAATTTGTGACTGTGTGACTGGATCCCACACATACTATTTGCGAGTTTTAAGTCATAAGAAAAAAATATCTCACTTAAGCAGCAAGCTTTTTCAACTTGGAGGAGGCCAAACATTGATTTGAAATTTTCATATGTCTCTGGTGTATTTTCTGCCACTGCTACTATTAGCTGCTTTTAGGCTCAGATTCATTGAGTTTCATGTCAAGAAGACTCAGGCTCACTTTATTCGCATCTATTCCAAGTTTGAGAATTGTGTCCAGATCAATACACTTGGAGTTACCAACAACCTGCTTCAGTTGATGAAGGTCGTGACAATGAGAAATGTAAATTTTTTCATTGTTTTTCAGTTGAAGAGTACTCAATATAAAATTCTCTTGCAATAGTTTGCCAGCCTCTGCAAATTTTTGTTGAAAGTTTGATTTCACAAGCTTTACAGGGCTTATTTGATTGATAGCTGATCGAAGTTTCCTCATTTCTGTGTTTGAAAGCCCTGTATTTTGTTGAATTGAGACCATATCTTACGTGTATAGAGGGTTGGAAAAAAGTGACCCTGTGAAGTAAAATAATGTTAATCAAAAACTAATTTCGATTAAAATTTTGACAAAATTATTGGAAATTTTGAGTACCTTTTCTCACTGACAATGGCGCTCCTTGAGATTTTCAAATTCTAACTGTGCCACCTGGTGAAGTATCTTTTGATAAAATTACTGATGATGCTATCTGATCTGCCCCATTGGATCTGCCATTGATAATGTTCTTAAGTTATAGTCGAGCCCCTTGAGTACAATGATGAGGTAGTCCACGTGCAACCACAGATAAGCAAATTTTACATCTCTTTGATGGATTCTCTTTGAGTGTGATTTTGAGCTTTGGTTTGATTTTGTTTCATCAATGGATGCTTTTTTTACCTTTGGTTTTTGCAATTCAATGAATCAAGCAATCACAAGCACTTGTCTGTCTTGTTAAAGTTTTAACTTGAATCGAATCAAAGTTGTAAAGAGCACGAAGATTGAGAGGCAAATTTTTGTGGCTGGCTTTGTTGATCTTGAAACAACAAGTTAAGCAAATTCTGTTTGGAACTTTGTTATCATTTAAATTAATGGAATTGGAAAAAAAAAAAATTGGCTATCTTCTGTGTAAAGGAATATGTCAATTCACAGTCTGCTTTTTATATACTTCCTTGAAATTACTCTTAAATACTTTAAATACGTCTAACAGTTAATAAATATTTTTAAATCTATGGAATAATTTTAAAACCTAATTTTTATATGCTTTTTATAGACTTCCTGCACTCATTGTGGTCTTTGGGAAACATAGGCATTTTGAGAGTTTCACTTTTTGTTTGTAAATGTACGCGCTCTTAATTAGGGATGTGGCACGCCAACAATTTGCCATCAATAACAATACCAGCATGTTTAAATCATATATCTTTTCAATAATAAATGAAATTTCATGCTTTGTCAAAAAGTGTTTTGTAAAAATTTTAAAAAAACTTAAATTCCCTTCTTCCCCAGTTAGATAATAAGAATGAAACTTTAAACCCTAACAACTCCTTTGGATTTTAATCCATGATTTTAATTTTTGTCAATATTTGCTTCTATTGACATCTAGAATCATTGGTTAAAAGGGCTTTAATGGGATGTTTTGTTGGTATTAAGACCCCAAATTTTTAGGGTGTGTACAGTATGCCTTTGTTAATTTTTCACTATGACTACAAAAATTTTAATATTTTAATTGAGTTAGAGATTTTTAGTTGTTTATCCAAACTATTTCCTTATAACTTTATATTAAAAAAAAGAATAGGCTCTGATATATACCTGACATGACCTGTAAAGTAGATGTCTATATATATATATATATATATATATATATATATATATATATATATATATATATATATATATATATATATATATATATATATATATATATATATATAGACATCTACTTTACAGGTCATGTCAGCTAATATATATATATATATATATATATATATATATATATATATATATATATATATATATATATATATATATATATATATATACAGGCCTTGCGATGAATAAGAACTGCGCAACGCATAAGCACGACGTGATTTTTGACGTCATTAAATTCTTTTTATTTGCTTTTCATATTTATCGACATTAACTGCACCAATTTACTTAATTACCGCAAAACTACTTTCGTTTATGTAGAAATGTTTTTATTTAAAAATGTTTTGGAATGTTTCGTTTTTTAAAATGTAAAAAAATTTGTTTATTTTCTCGACGTTTGTCACGTTTTGTCTATACTAAACGAATAAAAAACATTATAACTTAAATTTAAAAAAGATTATAAAATATGCTAATATTTGATTTTTTTTTCTTAAATATGTAATTTAAAGTTTTTCAAATAATTATTTTTTCTTTTTAAAAAGTCAGCGAGTAATAAACTGGAAATTTTAATATTGTACGATTAAAAACTGTGCATTAGCTAATATTTTTACATGCGATTTTATATAATATTTATTTATTTATTTTTATTTATTTTCATAAAGCGGTTGATAAGCACAATCACTCGTATTAATAAAAAACTTAAACGAACGTTTTGAATAGATTTTTAATGTTAACAAGGAATTTTATTTCTAGTAAAATAAAATAAAATGTTAGAATAAAAATCTTATAAGTATAAAAGAAATATTTCAGCGAAAAAATTATTCTTAAAAATTATTCTTAAAAATTATTTGAAAAACTATTGACGTTCTATTTTTCAGCAGCTGTTCCTGAGCACGCTTCGTTGAGTTTCGGTAACTTTTAACATAAAAACAATCGTTATTATTTAAGTAATTTTTTTGAGTTACTTTTTACAAAAATTTTAATAACTGTACTTTTTTATTGAATCAAGTAGAATACGTTTTAATATTAATCCTTTTTTATTTTTTTATTTGCCCTCACCAATTTTTTAAATGTTTCCTCGAAATTACTCTTAAATACTTTAAATACGTCTAACAGTTAATAAATATTTTTAAATCTATGGAATAATTTTAAAACCTAACAAAACCCTGTAAAATAATTATTTAAGTTTAAAATCTAAAACTAAAAGAAAGTATTTTTGTTCAATTTTATCGACAACTTTGCTATTGCTGAATAATTTTAATTAAATGTTAGCTTAAAAGATTTAAACTTTTTTTTTAATTTTTGAATTTTTTCTACTTGTAAATAATGAGCATATTTAATTTTTTTAAATTCAAACTTTTATTTCAACTGTGTGCGGTTTTTAAAATACTTTATTAAATGTTAAAATAATCGTAAATTACTTCATTAAAATTCTGCTCAAATATATTTTTAAATATACTCAAACAAAAAAATTTTTGCTCGACGCAAATAGCCCTAGCTACACACAAAATCGCTCTTGGACGACGTAAAGTTCACATCGCCCGACGCATTATCGCAAGGCCTGTATATATATATATATATATATATATATATATATATATATATATATATATATATATATATATATATATATATATATATATATATATATATATATAGGGGAGAGCGGGGTTGGTTGTCACACTTTTTACATTTTAGGCTGCTCAGCTTTTAATTTTCATCCAATCAATGCCAAACTTTGCACAAAGCTAGTTTAACTATTTCCAGTAACTATTATAATATTTTTATGACATTGAGTGAAATATTTATTGCTGTAAAATCATATTTTATAATGACCACTTCTGTGTGACAACAAGCCCCGCTCACGGGGTAGGTTGTCACATGGTGCGGGGTTGATTGTCACATTTGGATTTTGACAAGTTTAGATAAGAATTTAATGTAAAACGAGTACAAATTAATTTTGTTTATGTTTTACTAAGAAAAATACAAATAAAATACTATAAACTGAAATATATATATTTTAAATATAACACAATTAAAAAATTTAATTTATCACTATAAATGTTTTTAGGTTTGGTTTTTTAAAAATTATTGGATAAAGAACACAATTCACAAATAAACTGTTGTAAGCCTGGTGTGCATTCTTCATGAGACCGTTTTTGGCAAACCTGACATTGAATCCACTGTTCTCTTGATCGGCTGTTGGAAAATGATTCAAAACAATAGATGCACTAAATATAAACATTGCACAAACAAAACAACAGACAGTTTTACAAACTAAACAACAGCTAGTTGTTTAGTTTGTAAACAAAACAATAAACAGTTGAACTTCTGCAATCCTTTTTCTATAATTATACTAAACATTGGATTGGAATCTAAAGTTATGCACGTTGAAATAAAAATAATTTAGATTACAGATATTTAGTTAAACAAATATAACACTTTGACTTTATATTTTTAAATAATATCTTAAACATTAAAATATTCCTCAATAATGCAGAAAATAAACAAAGCCAATAAAAAATCTGCAAGCCGCGTTTAATTTGCAGCGCATGGAGTCGAGGCAAGTGTGACAACCATCCCCATATATT